ATCTAGAGCCAAATCAGCTAGGGGAGGTATTTTTTTAAATGTATTTTTTTCATTGATTTCTGAGATGAAGGGAGAGGGAGAGAGAAAGAGAAATCAATGATAAGAATCATTAGTCAGTTTGCTCCTGTACTCCCCCTGCTGGGGATCAAGCCTGAAACCCAGACATGTGCCTTGACTGGAACAGTGACCATTGTTGAGCCACACCAAACGGACTAAGTTAGGTATTACTTTTCTAGCCCCATTTTATAGATAAGGAAGTTGAGGCAAGGAGAAGATAAATGATTTGGCCAAGATCATACAGCTAGTAAATAATCAAACTGGCAATCACACTCCAGTGGTCTGGTTCCACATCAGTTCCTACCCCAGATTTCCTCCTCCTCCCCATCCTCTCCTTCCTCCCCCTCCTCATTAGGCAGATAAAAACAGTGGCACCTGAGCCCCACCTTCAGGACTACAACAGACTTCCACAGCCTGTCTGGAGGGAGGGCAGGGGCACTCCAGGGATAGCCAACAGCCTGGAGATGGAAAAGTTTAAACCACCCAGGGAGAGGAGATCCCCTCACATAACCTAGTAAGGGGATATAACGTGGAGAGGTTGGAGAGGACAAAGCTAGTGGGTAGTCCTCCACTTTCCCTGTGACATGCTCGGAATGTATGGTAAAGTACATACAACTCTTACCTGCTACAGAAGATAAACATCGTCAGTAAAGCATTTTGAATGTATTTGAAATTACTGTTTTATGACAATAATCTTGGCCCTCAATCACAAACATCTAATAATGCAAACCGCGCTGAGTGGAAGACCGACTCTACATTTCCTGTTCCTCCAGCCTTCTCTGTCTTTTTCTCTCTGTGAAGATGTGATCTAGAGACTTAAACCGCAAGAATAAAGACTAGAGGCACTAAATGCCAGTTATTTTCTGAGATGACAAATGTCCTATCATGCCAACCCACAGTTAAGTATGTTCAAATGAGAATTTTGATGTTACTAGTATATTACCAAGCTGATTTAAACAGTTTAAGAAGTGTAAAAATATTTTAAACATGGTGCCAGGTGGGTAATGGAAATATCAGGGGGGACCCTTTATAGTATACCAGAGGCTCAGTGCATGAATTCATGCACAGGTGGGTCCCAACGCCTGGCCAGGGCTGAGCCTGGGGGGGAGGAGGAGGATAGGGTGTGTGTGTGGGGGGGGGGGGGACCATAGAAGGTTGGCCAGCCATCTGGCTGGGGTGGGGGGAGGGAGGCGTTGTAGAGTCTTCCAAGTTCTCAAAGCCTCCAGCCAGGAGTGAGGGAGGCTCTGGGCAAGGTGAGGGGTACGCAAAGGGCTGCCATGCCCAGTTAGCAGACTTGCAGAAACCAGGACAGGAAATCACTGGCTCCCAGGTGTCTCGGGTGCAGGGCCCCGGCTCACAGATGGCAGTGCAGGTGTGGACTAATGGCCCCGATCCCAGGCACCTGAGTAAGTCAGCGCTCACAATGGAAGCTGGAGGCCCTCAGCTACATGGCACCGTTGAAATGAGGGCTACCAGATGAAGCGAGGGGGAGAAAAGAGAGAGGAGGAGAGAGAGGGTAGGGAATGGGGAGAAAGGAGTAAAGCGCCAGAGGAGAATGGAGGGGGAGAGAAGGGGGAGAAAAGTGAGAGGGTAAGAAAGGATCCCTGGGGAAGGAGAGCAGTGAGGGGAAGAGAGGTGAGGAAGGAGGGGAGTGAGGAGGGAGGGAGGGGAGAGAAGGGAGGAACTGCCACACCATCAGAGTTTGACCCCAGGAAGAGAAGTCAAATTGAATGTTTGAATGAAATGTCATGCATGACCTGACTTACAATTTCCTGAACATTACACCCATCGCAGAGGGGGAGATTTGGAAAGGATGTTACAATCACTGTTCACAGCACAGAAAGAGATTTTGCTTTTTAGAACAGGGGAGTCTCTCCACAAGGAAAACAATGAAGTGCTTACTATACTAATAGTTCAGCTTTCCCTAAACATTTTAAACATTAGATTGGATTTCTCTTCCTGGAGCCAAACTTTGATGGTGTCCCTCCCTCCCTTCTCTCACCTCCCTCCCCCCACACCCTTCTTCCCCTCAGCCCTCTCCTTCCCCAGTGCTCCCTTCTTACACTCTCACTTGCCCACCCCTTCTCTCTTCCTCCATCTCTTCCTCCTCCATTCTCCTTGGGCTCTTTACTCCTTTCTCCCCACCCCCTATCCTCTCTCTCTCCTCCTCTCTCTTTTCTCCCCCTCGCTTCTCCTCCCCCTTCTCTCTTTTCCTCTCTTTCCTCCCCCTGAAAAATGTGAAAAGCCCTTTTAGTCCATCCTGGTTTATCTTGAATTCTGTGATCCTGCCTGACATTCTGCCTAAGATCCAGCCCAGGAATAGTGGCCAATGCAAAGCTGACTGGAACCTGACTTTTCATTTCTGAATCACATAAATTCAAGCCAAGAGAATGGCAGACTGACACCTCAAAAGAGCTGGGTCTGATAACATCCCAGGCGAGACCATGGGATGGGAAGGAAAGGAAACTGTCCCAGGGACCACCTCAGTCTGGAAAATGTGCTGCTCCTCCCAAACGCCTTCTCCAGACCTCCAAGGATTCCACAGTCGTGGACCAGGAGTACACCCAATCGCGTGGCAGCCTGCTTACTCTTAGTGTCTACCGTGAGCCTGTCAGAAAAAGTGAGCAGGCAAGTAGGTTAGCACCCACTGATTTTGGTGACCAATCTTAAAAGGGTGTCCTCCCCAAGGCAAGTTTTAGACTTTTATTCGGATGAGGGCCTTCCTGTGAAGCTGCCTAGGAAACCGGAGTCTGCAGGGATAAGGTGTAAGGAAAACATGGCCCTGTATTCTGACATAGAGACCTGTTTCTCGTTTTTTCCCCTCCTGGGCTGGGGGAACTTGCAACACCTTTTTCACTCTCTTTAGCTAAAAGGTGTCTGGAAGTGGGCACATGGCTCGTTAGCACCACCCAGTGAGACAGGAAAGAAAGGAGAGGAGCATGGGCAGGAGCCACGGACTTGAACTCCAGTTTTGACACTTTTTGGTTCAGTAACGGCGGGCCAGCCTCAATTATGAGAAGGCCCAGCCTCAACTCATCTATGAAATGGAGAGAACACCACCTACATAGCAGAACTGCTAGGAGACTAAGGAAGGTAATTCCTTTTGAAATAAATGCCCGGTGCATGATAGGACCCCAATAAAAATGCTGGCCCTCCCAGCCCTCCCTGTAACTTCACTACTTTTACTCAAGAAGAATTCCTTGTGATCACTTCCTGAGGTCATATTTGGTTTTCAGATAAATAGCAACCAACTACTTGTCCATAAAACGTACCTAGTGAAAGCAGCTTTTTGAACTAGTAGGATATTTTCACATTTCTTTTTTTCTTTTTTTTTCTTCTTTTTTTTTTCAGTTAAGCCTAAATATCTTTCAATTTGGCTAATTTTAACTTGTGAGGGACAACACTTTCTTAACAGGCTAGATAAAACCCATTAATTTCACAAAGCAAATTGGAGCTTTAACTATATATTAACCTAACTATATTAAGCTAACATTTAAGGAGCACTTGCTATTTTCCAAGCATTGGGCTAAGCACTTATATGTATTTAAATGTATTCGTATCTCATTTAAACCTAACAACGCATAAGACATACTATAACTCTCCCCATTTTACAGATGAGGAAACTAAGGCAAAGGGTAACTAACCTGGGGGACCCTCAGTCACAGGCAAGAGCAGAGACAGGGAGCCCCAACGGAAAAAACTGCATTCGCTTTTCAAGCACGGTGCTTGCTCTCATCCAGAAAGCCTTCAAATATTCAAATGTAAGGATTTTTGGCAATCTCCCCATTAGATTTTCCAAAACTCCTCCTTGCTGTATTTCGGAGAAGAGTCTAAACTCACCACCATATTCCAAAAGGGAAGTGAAGATTTAATCCACTGCTTCCCTGAACTTCTCTCTGCCCGTCTTCCTTTAGTTATTTCTACCTCCCACCCCCCTCTGTGTGTGTGTGTGTGTGTGTGTGTGTGTGTGTGTGTGTGTGTGTGAGAGAGAGAGAGAGAGAGAGAGAGAGAGAGAGAGAGAGAGAATGTGTCTTAAACAGATATTTTATAAACTCATCACCATATTCCAAAAGGCAACTGCTTCCCTGAACTTCTCTCTGCTGATCTTCCTTTAGTTATTTCTCTGTGTGTGTGTGCGTGTGTTTCTGCCTCCCGTGTGTCTTAAATAGCAGATATTTTATAATCACCCGATAACTGAGAACAGTCCCACCGAAGAGACCAGACCAATGTCACTAGTGAATACTCCAGAGAGGAAGGAGGAGGAAGACACCGCTTCGCTTCCAACTCAGTTCACAAAACTCCAAGAAGTACAGAACTCACTCCCCCAACGGCTTCCCCAAAGCCGCAGGGCGGGCGGCGGGCGGGAAGGCGTGCGCCCGCGGCCACGCTCCCGGCCCGCCGCGGAGGAGCGGCGTTTGAAGCGGGGATGGACGTGACCAGTTCCCGTCCGCGTGGCCCGGCCCGCAGACCCGAGCTCCTTCCGTGCCCCAGGACAGCTTCAGGCGAAAGGAAGACGAAACCCAACAAGTGCCGGCAGCAGCCCCTGCAGCCGGCGAGGCGGGCGCCCAGGGGGCGGCGGGGGGCGGCTGCTCGCCGTCCCCGGGCGGATGGTCCCTCGCCAGCAGCTCACCGTCGCCAAAGCGCCCGGCCGGGACGGCGAAACCGGGCTGCGGGCAGACCCGAAGCCGGCGGCGACCGCGGGCGCCCCTGCCCGCCTCCCGCTCCCTGGGGGCACGCGGGGCACCCCGCACGGGTGCCCCCAGGGCCGACCCTGGCTCCGAGGCCAGCGGGAGGCAATGCCTGGCCGAAGCGAGCTGCCAGCAAAGTCTGCACAGCGGTGCTGCCCCGCCGGCTGCTCGCCCGCCCCGTGCCCCGTCCGCCGTCCGCCCCAGCCCGCGCGTCCGGCGCCGCGCCCCCACCTGGGCCGCCGGCCGCGCCCTCACCTCTCGCCGCTGCCTCCTCCGCCGCCGCCATCGCAGGAGCCGCGGGACCGGCTCCGCAGCCCCGAGGCCGGCCGCATGCAGAGCCCGGAGCCCGCGCGGCGCCGGCCCAGGTGGCGGCCTGGAACGGGGACCCGGGCGCGCGCGCTCCGCCAGGTGCCGCCGCCGCCGCCGCCGCCGGGAGCGCAGCCCGCGCTGCCGAGGGGCCGCCGCGCGCCGGGCGGAGCATGCGGACTGGCCGCCCGGGGCCCGGCTCGGCCGGAGCGGGACGGCGGGGGGGGGGGGGGGGGGGGGGCGGGGTCACAGGGCCCCGCCCCGCCCCGCGGCCGCCGGCTCAGCGGCAAGGGCGCACCTGGCGCCGCTCGGAAGACGCGCCTGTTTGGAACAGCGTTTCGCCGCCGCCTTGGGATCCGCTGTCTGAGTGCTGCGGGGGCTGGAGCGGTCTCCCTGGGGAGAAAGGCGGAGGGTGGATGGAGATCGAGGGGGTAGCGGGGCGGGGGATTGCGGGAGTGTCCAGGTGGGAGGGAGGTTGTCCCCTGCGCCTTCCTGCCTCGGGAAGAAGGAAGGTTTAGCTGCAGAAACCACGGTGTAATGACCGAGGAGGCCGTTTCCGATCCTGAACCGGTTGAGTAAATCCAGAAGCCAGATCCTTCCAGGGTCCCTGCATCCCGGGCTCGCCACCCCCTCACTGGCGCCTGCACCTGCTTCTTGGTTGCAGTTAGTCTAGTAGAGGTGGTGGAGGGAAGGAACCGCAGAGGAAACACTAAAGCTTGGCTCCAACCAGCCTAAACCTATTCATTACCTCACCGGACTCTTCATTCTAGTCTTAACCGGCTGCTGACGGCAGGGTCCTCAGAGCTCCTTAGGGGCTGGCCCTGGGGAAGGGACTGGAAGCCTGCTCCCCCCAGAAGCAGGCAGGGCGGGGGAAGACGGTCACAGCCTTATGTGGGGACCGGGATTATATGCTGCTGGAGGTGGAGGTGCTAAAAACTGTGCTGCCTTTCATAAAACGCACCGACACATCCTCATCAAAACCACTCTGGAAACATCTCCATCCTAGCTTCTACTTGGGACTTTACCTGGAATCCACCAATACTAGCTTCTGCTGGCAGCTCAGGGAGCCTGGCAGATATTCTTAAAATCTAGTCTAGGGTTCCTTGCACGTGTTCAACCCTAGCTTTCTAGACAAGTACTCTGTTTTGAGACACTTTTTCCAACGTGGAGGGGGTGGGGGGTGCGGGTGGGAGAATACTTTTAGACCTGGGCATGCAGCACAGGGTACCTTAATGGTGAAGCGAAGTTGCTAGGACCCTGGTTAAAATACACAGCACAGACTTTGTAAGACTTTCTTGTTGGCTGACCAATGACCTTTGTGAGGTGTTAGATCACTTGTAATTCTCGTTTGATTAGTAGGCAAACAGAGGTTCAGAAGTGATGAGTATGTTGGCCAGGATCAGTCAGTAGCTGGTAGAAGCCAGGCGGTAAAAGCCAGATCTCCTTCTTAGGAGTTCATTCTATGGTGTCCAAAAGCTTACGGTGAATCATCGCAATCCTTGTTTCTAAGAAACGATTCACTTGCACCAAACAGCCTAATAGCCAGAGAGAAGGAATCCAGAACTTAAATATGATCATAGGAAGTGTGCCCAAGAAGAGACTCACCCGGCTTGGCAGGGCACTCACTCTCACAGGGTTCCCCTAACTGTTCAAGTCTACACGATTTTTTATTTTAAAAGAGTAGTTTGTTGTGCCGCATAGGAAAAAACAGAGAGCCATGCAATATCTCACAGGTGGATCTCTTGTTTGCAACTAGCGATTTCCTCATATTTTCTCCGTGGGCGAATGCAACAAATGGACCAGTGGTGCTCAGTTGATTGGAGTGTCATCCTATATCCTAAAAGATTGTTGGTTGTGTCTAGAAGGCAACCAATCCATGTTTTCTTTCTCTCTCTCCCTCTCTCCCTCTTCCTCTCTGTCGCACTCTGAACCCCTTCCTCCCTCTCAAATCAGTAAGCATATCCTTGGACATTAGAAAAAAAGTGTTTTGAAACATAAGCAAAATGCATGTACATATACATATACATATACATATACATATACATATACATATACATATACATATACATATACATATACATATACTGTTTCTGGTCAATGTGCTTTCCTTGCCAAAAGCCCAGGGACAGCTTTGCTCTTTAGGAATCATCGTCAATCCTAGAGTGAACTTAGTTTGTTCACTAACTTTGCTTCACTGCCAAGTAAATGATCAGATAAGAACAATACTGGAATTAGAAATCACTGTATTGCAAACTACACATTCCTACACTCCTCAATCTCCTGCTGGGGTTGTTACTTAGTTTGGGGGTTCGTTTAAGGCCATTTAGATATTTTAGTTGGTCCAGGGCAAGAAAAAAAAATCCACCTGCTTCAGATTATAGTTAAATTGAAGGAAAACTCTATGTATTTCCAATGATGCATACAAATAAAAATCAGTAACAACTGTCCATTAATGGGCTCCTAAGTGCCTGAGGAAAGTAACTAAATTATTAAAGTTAAACTACCCTTTTTCCCACTGCTCCCAGCCCACCCCAAGCATTCTATGAAGGGTGAATTCTGGGGAGGATTCTGGGATTTGCTGAGCAGGTTGACGAGTGGGAGTGCAATTGGGAGAAATAGGGAGGCCAAATGTGTTCAGAAGGATCAGCTTGAGCTAGGCCTATCAAGGGGAGAAGCAGAGAATTGTTAGGAGGGTATACTCATAAGAAAGATGAAAGGTTGTGGTGGCAGCTGCCAGAGGGAATGAGAATTGAGAGATCTTTTGAAAGGGTATTTAGGGAATTTCATTGTGTAATGCAACATCTCTTACATTATTTTTCTAGAAACTAGCAGCCTTGGTAAAAGCTACATTCCTTCTCAATGTCTTTAGAATTTAGTTTTGTTTTTAATAAAAGTGAAAACATTTTGAGATTGACCTTAGATGGAAAGTAGGGCCATCCACAAAATGCAATTATTTCATTAATTTGTTCACAAATATTTATGGTGCGCCTACCATGTGCCAGGCACTACTGTAAGCACTGACTTTTGTACTTCACCCACTGTAAACCCCTTACTTTTTTTTTTTTTAATATATTTTATTCATTTTTCACAGAGAGGAAGGGAGAAAGATAGAGAGGTAGAAACATTGATGAGAGAGAAACATGGACCAGCTGCCTCTTGCACAGCCCCTACCGGGGATGTGCCCGCAAGCAATGTATATGCCCTTGACCGGAATCGAACTTGGGACCCTTCAGTCCCCAGACCAACGCTCTATCCATTGAGCCAAACCAGCTTTGGCTAAACCCTTTACTTCTTACAGATGATCTCACAATTGATGAGGCAGTGCTATTTTGTTTTGAAAAGTCCAACCAGTGCCCTTTGCCCCCCTTAGTTCAGTGGTTCCCCAACTCCCATGTGCATGAGAATGCGCAGAATTTCAGCCCCAGCTCGAGACTCTGATTTAGTAGGACTGGGAGAGGCATGCTCAATCCTTATTTCAAACTAGAGGCCCGGTGCACGAATTTCTTGCACTGGCTGGGTGGGGGAGGGGGCAGTGTCCTTTAGCCCAGCCTGTGCCCTCTTGCAGTCCAGGAACCCTCAGGGGATGTCAGAGTTACAGCTTAGGCCCGCCCCTATAAGCTGGCAGTTGGATGTCCTTAGGGCTGCCAGGGAGATGGGTGAGGCTCCCACCACCATCACTGCATTTGTTAGCTGAGAACCCAGCTCAGGGCTTCTGGCTGAGCAATGCTCCCCTTATGGGATTGCACTGATCAACAGGGGCAGTTCCTGTGTTGTGTCTGCCCCCTGGTGGTCAGTGCTTGTCATACCAACCAGTCATTCTGCAGTTTGATCAATTTGCATATTAGCCTTTTATTTTATAGTATAAGCACCCTAGTTGATTTTGAAACAGTTGCTCTGAGTGCTCTATTTTAGAAAATATTGCTTCAACTTGTTAAAAATGAGTTTTGTTAAACCTGGGTTATTGCAGAGAGTAAGTCATGTATGTGTGTGCAAGATTTTTTTTTATTAGCTAAAGGACAGGAGTAAAATCCAAGAAAAATACATGGAGGAACAATATACATTAGGACAAGATGTGCTGACATCTCTTATATATAGAATTATTGCCTAAGGTTATTTTTCCCGTGGAAATTATGGTTTTTTGTGTGTGTTTATATGTCAAAAGCTGAACTAATTTTTACTTTTGCAGGTTTTGGACACTTTTAAAGCAAGTATGGTGTTCCGGGTCCTCTTCAGTCCTTCCTGACTTGATTAGCATTCTACAGGAGAGTTCTTCAAGTTTTATGTGTGTATATTTCACTTATTTACTGTTGACGGTATTAGAGATGTCTCCCTTCCCCACCCCGTTAGTCCCCCTCTGCCCATAGTAGTTCTAGTTTTCTTTAATTATGCTACCCAAGAGGACTAGAAAGTCAAAAGACAGTTTCCCTTTCCTTTTATGGGTTTCTCCCTGTGGAAGAGACTTCCAAGTCATCTTGTTTAGGTTTTGATAACTAATCCTTTAATATGAACAGCAATGAAATTTAGAGATAACTTTGTGGAATTGGCACAAACTCACCCTTTTCAATTTCTATCCGTTAAGAGTCCCTTTTGTTCAGTTAGACAAAGCAGGTCAGTCAGTAGTAATTGGCCACCCCACCCTGTCTGGGTCTTGGTGGGAAGTCAGTTGATGAGGGTCCCTTACAGCAATAGAACAGCTATGGGGGGAGATGGACCAATGAAGAGGATGAATAGGAGCTGGGAGGGATGGCAAAAGACCAATTTCCATCCTGTATGATGTCGTCCACAGACCCACTCCTACTCCTGGTTCTCAGAAAGACAAGCAACCCAGGATTCCAACAGCCGAGCACGGGTCTAGCACAGTGGCATGCCGCATTCCTGTTTTAGATAGGCCAAGGAAGAGTAGGTGGACCAGCCCTTCAGTTCTTCATAGATAATGGCAGAACTAGCAACAAAATCTAGGTGCAGTGGCTTCAAGTAAAAGCCATCATTACAAGCCAGTTTTATTCTGGTAGCAGGTGGCCATGTGATTTGGGTGAGCCTTACTCAAGTACCAGGAATGTGAATCCTGATTAGTTTTAAGTCCATAACCAGGCCAGGTACTGTTGTAGGAATGAAGGGATGACATAATCATGGCCGATAAAACCTGGAGGTTAATTTCCTTAGAATGCTTCTGGGCAAGGGTTTATTTGTTCTTTAAAAAGGGGGCACACAGCAATAGTTCTCTTTTTAAGGACTTACATGCTGCATGAGGATTTGGTGCTTAGTCCCTGTAGCCATCTAGCATCTGAGAAAACAAGACCAAGGATTACAAAGTAGGAAAATAGACAGAATAATAGAAAAATGGAAAGAACTTGCATCCATGGTGTTTTTGATACACTAAATTGACTACCCTGGATGGTCTCTATCTTGTCTTAATGTTACATAAGACATTCATTTTCCTTATTGTTGAACGTATTTTTACTTCTGTCTTCTGACATTTGCCTTCAAAAGTACCCAGTGACAATTGTCACTAGCTCCCCACATATTTTCTGAGGTTTAGAAGCATGTGAGGTAATTTGTCAATAAAGCATGGTATGATTTGGGGAAACAGAAGGAGCCCTGGACTTGGGATAAGTCATACTCAGCCTCATGTTCATCATCTGTAAAATGATGGCAATTATGTTTATTTCACAGAGTAGTAGAAACTAAAATGAATAATGTAAGTGAAAGCATTTTGTATACAAATGTAAGTTTATCTATCACAAGATGCTTTCAAAAGAAGATGAATTTAATCTCCAAGTTTGTGCCAATGCTCAAATTTTCACATTGTGTTTTCACAGTTTTGCCTTCACCATCACATTATTGAAATGATGTAAGCTAGGGAACAAGTAGGTTTTCTGATTGGCTCCTTCTGAACTCTGCAGAGAGTATCATGATTATCAGTGTCTTTCATGGGACAGAACTAATAATATAAGTGGTACTTGGGCCACTTATATTATTAGTTTCCATGCTATTTTGAGGCATTTTCAATTTAATTTTGAAATATTTTCAATTCCAATTCTGCTTGCTAATTGGTTTTGGCCTAGTGGGATCATTGTATATAAACCTGTACAACTATCTTGATTATTTAAACATAACACAAATGAAACGTCAAAATTTTATTTTGTTCTTGATGTGATATTTAAGTGTAAAAATTGAATACATTTGCAGATCAGTCTTTCTTGAGTTTTCGGTAACACCTATCTCAAAACTCAAAAATGAAATAACAACAACAAAAAACCTCATCAACGTAAGTATTACAAACATAGTTTTTATTCTTTTCTTACCTTCATTGAAAAAGGCCTCATGCCACCAAATCATTTTTTGAAACTGAATGAATACAGAACTCAAGGGCCTGATGATTAATTTTCTAGACAACTGCTAAATAATTTATATTGCTTTTTTAAAAATAACTAAGATCTATTTTACTTAATTTCTTTTTAAAGTAGCAATATCCCCTCACATTTTTTTTCATAAAAATCTAAAATATCTCTAGTAGTCCCAAGTGTCTTATTTACATTTGTTCTAAGTGTTTGTTTCATTAAAATTTCTCAGAAATAAGTGCACTTCTAAAGAGAAAATAAAATTTAAAGACAAGAGGAAATCATCACAGTTGTAGCAAAACAGTTATTTTGAATATTTTGAATCTTAGCAATTCAAAGAGAAAATGTGTTTAGTAGCCAGGGAACTCTCTACTTGATTAAAATTTCAATTCAATTCATTCATTTGTAGATCATCAAAAGAAGAATAGCTGTATCTCCTACCAGTACATACTGATTGATTGGTTGTCTAAGGGTTTTCTACAATGAAACACCAAAAATAAATGTACTTAAAATATTTTAAAATTTACAAATTTACACAGAGATATACAGGTGTTTATAAAACAGAAAAAGTATGCTTTTATAGATAAAAATAAAACACAATTCTTAAGCCTTAGCAACCAAAGAAAATTTTGAATATTCCACATTTGTTATTTTCCATTCAACTAATAGCTTATTAAATCAGCTATATAATTCAGAAAAGATTGATTTATAAGAAATTCCTTATATTCAGATAGCACTAACTATGCTTCGATACATTTAAAGATTTAAAGCTATGTTAGTAAGAAAAGCATAAAAGAAAAATAACATAACTTGCTTTAATACAAAGGTTTTTTTAATAAAAAAGTTGGTCTACATTAAATCAGGAAATCAATAAATCTGAATTATACAAGCGTTCTATATATTTAGAAAAACCAAAAACACACACTTTATAATAAAACTCTTTAATTCAAAATAGAGTCTAATTTAAAGAAAATATCATTATGCCCAGTTGGGTAGATAGGGTTTTGTCATTTAAATTAAATCGTTCACCTGAAATGTGGGAAATGTACAATAGAGAAAATTCAGTCTCAAAGATACTTCACAAATTATCTAGCTAACCTGCATCAGGAATCAAATTCTTGTTTCCAAAGGGCAGACACAGTCTTTAATTGCTTTTAGATAGGCACTTAAGAAATGCTTTTGACGAAGAGGAAACCCCAAAGATTGTGAATCACTCTGTTGACTCCAGGGAAAAATAAGAAATTAAACAAAGGTGAACTCCCAGAACTGCCTTCATGACCAGGAAATCACAACTGTTTCCAAGTTCTGCCAGTTAACAGGAATGAAGAAGAAGGAAACTAAAACGCTCTATTCTTAGTCAATTAAGAAGTAAACGTAGATAATTCAGCTGCTTTATTTTACTCTCTGTCAACTTGAATTAATGATATTTTTCTGTACTAGAATAGTTACCATATTAGAACTAGAGAATGTTACAATTTCCTCATATACTGCCCATTCACTACCACACCAGCTAAACAGTCCTTTAACAAGGAAGGAGGAGGGTGAGTAAAAGCGAGGGAAAATTCATAAATGGGAGCAGAAGTTAAAGGTGGTTATAATAAGAAAAGCCAAGTTAGTATAACTGAGATAACCCCAGAATTTTAATAATTCTCTCTTCTACTCAGCCACATGACTCAAATAAGAAAATACATATGAACTATTAGAGGAACCCATAACAAGTATCATACAAATACTAGAATGAAATAATTTAAGGGAGAAAGGAAGGAGGGAAAAGAATTGGGGGGGGGGGAAGTGGGGGAGAACTCCTAGTATGGCCTTTTTGAAACATTGTGGAACTACCTAGCAGCAATATTTATAAAAACATTTGTAGATTTGCATAATAATCCTATGCAATTCTTCCCAATTAAGAATATTCCTAAAAATAAATCATCATTTTGGATTTTGATCATATATCATGTGTAATGGTTATAATTGTTATATCTTTAAAAATTTGTATCAACAGTTAAGAGGAACATTAGGCCATTTTTTAATAAAGACTTATTCTTTAGTATTTAAGAAATCAAAACCACAGAGAGTTGTTTTAGAATTAAAATGTTGAGTTAGAAAGATAACTTGATTCTTAGGGAAATACCCAAAGAATGTGATGCTGACACTGTCTCCCTTATTCTCTAATCACAACCCTTCTGGCCTGCATTTACCTCCTTAATCCCATTTACAGTATCCACAGTGATGTAGCTAAACATGAATAATATTGCCCTTCAATAAGCTGATTTCTATCAAAGATCGGTCATGTCTGAATACAACATTCACACAGGAAAGTAAAATTCTACTTAGTTGTGAACATCATTCTGTTCAGGATCTTTGGTACATCTGGAGTATAAGAAATTAATGGCACAATAATACAAGTACTACCAAAGGAAATTTTTTCATTAAAAAAAAAAAATAAAAGTGAACCAGCCATGATATGTAACAACTTTCTGAAAACCAAAGTAAATAACTCTTTGTCTTTTACAAGTCCATTTACATGATCAGAAGTTTGACATTTAAAAAAATAGTTTAATAAAAATAAACTAGTTCTACAAGCAGCATTCTTGGTCATTTCTCATATTCAACTCACTATAATCAAATTAAAATAATGCCATGTCCTCTTGTTAAAAAAGAAGTCCTCTTGTCACAATAAAAGCAACTTTATATTTTATATAATATAGTACATCTCCCCTGTGAGTACACAGACTACGTATATAAAGGTCAACAGTATTTCTAAATGCAAATTAAATATATTAGTGGAGCGCTTGAGTGAAGGTGTTAAACTTCCTCCTTGTTATAAACTTGTCACTCCCTACTGTGGAGTTTGTGTCATAATATGATGATAAGTTCTATTTTTTTAAATAACCAGTGTATTTCCTTTTTAAAATTTCTTAAAAGCATTATAGAAATTGTCTTCATATGTATTTTTCTATAGATGTCCAAACCAATACGGCAAGTGTTCTAACATCAACTATGCAAGATGGCTTTTATTGATTATCTAGACCCATAAGATTTGCAGTAAAGTAGCAATACTGTAGTGTTACCTACAGGTTAGCCTATGTTGCTTTAAATGATATGTGTTTCTCCTGAATCGATTAAGGGTGTTACAGTATGAAGCCACAGCACACACAGGCAGAATGGACCTTAATACGCATGTAGGCAGTGCAGTTATAAAGGGATGTACGTTTCTTTTATTCCAGTACCTTCGTATAATAAAGTTAACAAAAATAATAAAATATTTTTTAAAAAAACCCAAAAATGCCAGCTGGCACTGCCAACCAATTCCTATAGTAGTCTCAGAAATCCTAATCCTGTAGAATTTCCTCTGTAGTCATAAGCACCACCGTCTTCGGGAGAATTTCCGTGTATTGTTACCTACGCAGAGCAAGCCTGTGATGCAGCTACCTGAGTTCTCTTGGTTTTGGGCGAGCGTGATCTTCATTCATAATTTCCCAGCTTTCATGTAGGTGGGGATAGAGCCACGCTGAGTCAACCCTTCAAACCTTTTATATGTATAATTGAGGAAAACCCAGTCTTTGGATTTGTAGTCCGGTTCTGTGGTGTTTGGCACTAGAAAGACAGAAAGATAAAATCAGAAAGATCAAAAGAATTTCATTAGTGAAAATGTCATCATTTTATAGATTTTTAATAGTGTTAGTTGTGTTGTCGATTGTCTTACCTGGTTGTAAAATATCAGATTCGGGAAAGTCATCAAAATTTGAAGTATCATCAATGCTTTTGATTCCTATAGGGATTGCTGCTGGCCTTTCCCTACAAAAGTATTGAGTAACCATGATTTTCTTGAACTCTTAATTTTCCAAAAAATAATTCTACTTGAGAATTCTTTATGCTGTTCTACCGATATTAGAGAAGCCTAGGAAAGTTACACAGAAGCTGTCTTGAAAGATGAAAAGGAGCTGGATTGGCAGGTGCAGGGGCAGGAACGAGAGCAAGGAGGAGGGGAGCATTTCAGTCAGAATGAATAGCAACTGACAGGGCGGTGAGGTAGGAAGAGTGGGAAAGATCACACAAGATGCAACCTGTAGTGATGAGGTAACAGCCTCAATCCTGAAATGCAGTTAAAAATCCTTAATTTTATTCTAAGTGCAAAGGGAAGGAAGAAAATGTCATGATCAGATTTGTTTCTAAACTGTTGCTATTGAAGGTAGTCTGGCGATAAACTGAGTAAAAGCTAATGCTCACAATTAACAACTATAAGCAAATTCTTATAGGTCACATTATTTAACTTCTCCCACAATGTTTTAAAAAGGGACTATATCTTATACATTAAATATGGTAAAAATGAGACAAAATATAGTAAAAATGAAAAGTTATAGAGTGAAATGTAAGTACATCTTGGTTGTGCTAAAACTGTTCATCATATAAATCTGGATACAAAATCCAAACAGGTGTACAATATATGATTTGTCCCCTACAATGTACATACGTTAAAACCAGCCATTTAGCAATAGTCTAACTAGAGTCTCTCTCACTTATATAATCCGGAAAACATTATAACAGTGTTACTTCTTGTATTTAATCTAGCAGAATCAGAGACAAATTAATCACCAAATCATTTTTTACTCTGACCTTTCTCATTCAAAGCCTATGAACATACCTGATGTGCCCCCAGTCTACACCTTCAAAAAAAGGATGACTTTTTATTTCTTCTACTCCACTATTTCCAATTCTATTTTCAGAATCAATACAAAATCTAGAAAGTAAACAGAGAAATTATATGCAAATTACATCTAAAGTACTCTATTCCAAACATTTCATTCACTTTTTTGCCTATTGATGTTAACTCTTTATTGTGGGAAATGTGAGAGAAAATATAAATCATCTATAATTGCATCATTCAACGATAACTACTATAAACAGGTTGAAGCCATTTCTGTAATTTAAAAAACATTATGTTGATCCAATAGTTACTATTTTAGGACTTTTTTCCACTTAACTGATTGAGAAAATTTCCCAAAATCATTAACATTTTTTCCATAACTTTATTTTCTAAGATTTGTATATGCAAATTTATTTAGCCACCACTGTTGAACATTTAGATTTTTTTCAATTTTTCATTAATAACAGTATCACAATAAACGTATCATACCTAAATCTTTATACACATCTGATTATCTGCATAAACAAAATTCCTCGTAGAATTGCTTGGTCAAAGGTCATATACAGTATAAAGACTTTTCATAATATGCTACCAATGGTTGTTCCCATAGGTTGTCCCAATTTATATTTCTTCCAGCCATTCACAACAGAATCAAAACATTTCATCTTAATTGTGAAAGAGAATGGAATCCTTTGTTTAGATAAGATTTCATATAAAGACTTTTGTGATAGGAACTGCCCCTAACAATTTATTTTTCCCTTCCCCTTTAATGAGATAGGATCATTGCACTCTAACAGGAGTGACCTTTGAAACAATACAAGACCTCTTCCGTCTTCTTAACTCGTAGTTGTTGTTTTCCTGTAACTTTCTTTTTAGAGTTTGCTTTAAAAACAACAACACATTTTCTTTATTTTTCTTGATTATAATTATCGGCGGTAGTCCTTTCCCTCCCACAAAAGTGAAATGGCCAATTTAGTCTTTTGGGTAACTATGAAGTTTTAAGATATGACAACCTCCTCTAGGGATTTAATCACTAACCTAAGAATTAAATCCTTGGCTTTCTCAGATATAGGCACCTCTGGAGGAAATATCAGCGTTTCTTTCCAGTTCATTACTTTTCTATATGTTTCTTGAGGTGTTTCAGAGCAGAAAGGTGGATATCCTATGTATCAGAGAAAAAAAGTTTTATCAGATCATATGAATAAATATGTAAAACCTATTACATAAGTGTCACAAGAAACAAAGTAGCTCCTAGTGCTCTACATAACAATAAAAAAATGCCATCAGTTATCAATTTATAATTAAATTCCTAATGAAGTCAATAAAATGAAAGATTTAAAGCATTCTTCTCCCTCTTTTTCTTAAAAGGCCATGCAGATACAATTTTGAAACATGAAAGTTCAATTAAATACCTCCTTCTTGAAACCAGATCCCTAAAGAGCACATTGCTATCTACCACTGTGTATTTGACATTGGGGGGCAGGTGTCAGAAATTGGTTTAAGAGTTTTGATATGTTAGCCCATGGTATCTGCATATGTTTAATCAGTAAACTCAAGGAAATGTATATGGTATGTACATAAATAAATGATAAAACATACCTATTAGCATTTCATACATAATCACTCCCAAAGACCACCAGTCACACAATTTGTTGTAACCAGTCTGCATGAATACCTCTGGCGCAATGTAATCTGGCGTCCCAACTGTGGAATATGCCTGCAAAGGAACAGCTTGTGATACCAACATTCTTTTTTTTTTTTTTTTTAATACATTTTATTTATTTTGTACAGAGAGAAAGGGAGAGAGATGGAGAGTTAGAAACATCGATGAGAGAGAGTCATCGATCAGCTGCCTCTTGCACACCCCCTACTGGGGATGTGCCCGCAACCAAGGTACATGTCCTTGACGGGAATCGAACCCGGGACCCTTCAATCCCCAAGCCGACGCTCTATCCATTGAGCCAAACCGGTCTCGGCTGATACCAACATTCTTAATATATTTTTTGAAACATGGGAATATAGCTCACTACTGTAAAAAACAATGTATACAGAAGTTACCTTTTTATTTAAAAAAAAAAATATATATATATTATTGAATTTTTTACAGAGAAGAAGAGAGCGGGATAGAGAGTAAGAAACATCGATGAGGGAGAAACATCAATCAGCTGCCTCTTGCACAAATCCCTACTGGGGATGTGCCCGCAACCAAGGTACATGCCCTTGACTGGAATTGAACCTGGGATCTTTCAGTCTGCAGGCCAACACTCTATCGACTGAGCCAAACTGGTCTTGGAATTTTTTCATTTTTTAATACTTGTTTTGTATGTTTATCATGTATAAGACTTAAGTGAAAGGTATGAGTCAAATAATAAGTTATTTAAGACATGATTTCTGCCTTGTAAGAAGCACAATTGAGTTATTTGTATATTTAGCCCTAAATACATTTCAAAAAGAAAAAAAAGGTTAAGCCAGTAGGCCTGGCTCTCCCAATCACAAGAAATGTGTCTTAAGCAGGTTCATCACCCTCTCTGAGTCTCAGCCTCTGCTTACATAAAACTGAAGTAATAATACCTGCCTGCACCATTGATATGAGGATGGAAACAAGAGAAGAAATGTGCTTTGTAAAACAACTACAGCCTACAATATATATAATCATCAGGTATTTTCAATATAAACCTAATTCCAGGCAACTGCTCAACCATTAGGAAACAATGCAGTTTTTCATTTTTAATTCATATTAACTCTTACCAAAAATAATTTAAAGAGGTAGTTCTCAACTAAGGGTAGTAGTACTCTAGGGACCATTTGAAATGTGTGACAGCAGATTTTGTCATCTCAATGACCTGGGGGTGAACATGATTGGCATTTAGTGGACAAGGGATACAGGTTCTGAAGGATTTCCTGTCTAGAATACAGAGTCCCCTCTACTTCTCTCTTGGGAAACACTGTACAAGTTATGATGATGGCCAGAAGAATAGTAAAACATGCACATAGAATCACCACCATATTTTTAAGCAATGTTCATTTTTCCCCTTTAAAGTAGGAAATACTGCAAATCTTTTCTCCAGTGTACAATCTGATCTAAAATCTTGACTTAAAAGTAGAAGAAAGTTTTTCTTGTTAATGCATAGCTCAATACATTTCTTAAACTTTTAAAAACACTAAAATATTTTACAAGCTCAGGAAGCTTGCAATTACTTGGGCTTATGAGAGAATGAACTCAATAATGTCAAGGTCACTTTATTTGGTTTGGGAGGGTATCGGGCTATTATCTTTCAGTCTATTTACCTTCTTGAGGAAATTAATTTCATTTTCATCACTTGGTTGAATTTAACATATTTACAGAGTGTCCATATGTGAGTATTATGTAAGAAGTTAGGAAAACAAAGTCAAAAGGTACATTCTTAACCTGGAGGATGTTAAAAAACCTAGTTTACAGGATAAAGGAAAAGAGTAAAAGGGGCAAAAGGTTCTTATGTTTGCTTAGTAATAGAGGAGAAATAGTGCAGGGCTAAAAAATAGACAGTGTTGCCCAGCTGGTGAGGCTCAGGAGTTAAGATCAACCCATATGCCAAAAGGCTGCTGGTTTGATTCCCAGTCAAGGTACATGCCCAAGGTTTCAGATTCAATCCCCAGTAGGGGGCATGCAGGAGGCAGCCAATCAATGATTATCTTTCATCATTGATGTTTCTATCTCTTTCTGCCTCTCCCTTTTTCTCTCTAAAATCAATAAAAAAATATTTTAAAAGAGTGTTATTTTATTGTAGAATAAAGGAGTAATTTCTTTTAAAGTCTGGTAATTTCTGGTAAAGTCTGCTTTCTAATTCTATTCATTGTAAGACTGTTAACAACCTAAGCTTCCTGTTTATTTTGTCAATAAAAAAGTCCTTAAAAATACACAACCATCTTACATGTGCTGATTGATATTTGTTTTATCAGGACAGGAAAACAAAAAAAAAATGAAATCATCAGGCAGTCACTATATTACACTTACTACACTGAGTTTTATATAAAGTGCTAATCACTAGTAAACAGACAATTATTTAATTATAGATATGTTTTATAAGCTACTTTAAAGTTAAATCATAAAGTAAAAATCAGCAGTTCACTTTACAGGTAAGGAAACACTTCAGAGAAACTAAAAAAATTGTGTGATCCCAGAACAAGCTTTATCATTGCTATGAAGTAAGTACTAATCATTGTGAAAGATACAAAATAATCAAGCAAAAAAAATTAAAGGAGATTTTAGAACCAGGGCACCAAACTGTTCTTAAAAACATGGCTAACTCACCAGTTGTCTCCTATTCTTCTTCCATGTTTCTGCTTTCCTCTTTGAGTTCATGTTTTGAAATGCTATTTTCAACAAGACAGAATTGTTATCATGAGGAAAACTCTCACCCCAAAACAAATACACACATACACATTTGAAATGCACTGGTTTAAGGAGTAAGGAGAGGAAGAGAGAGACCCTTTAGTTTTCAATAGTACTGAATTAAATCAGCTGTACCACTTTAACTGAAAACACATCAAACTTACAGAAGTCACTTGGTGGGTTGTGTGTAAGGTTTCTGTAGAATTCAGTTCTGTGAGCTTTCTTTAATCCCGTACATAAGCCGAAATCAGATAATTTTACATGACCCTAAAAAACAAAACACACACACACACAAACTAGTAAAATCAGTGGATTATATTAACTTTGAAACAAAAGCTTTATGATAAACTTTTCAACTATTATAAAAAATCTTAGCTTAGACTCCATACAAATGAAATGTAATAGTATAAATGTTTGATGATAGTGATTGCATCATTCTATAAAATAATGTAGATTAGCAATAATATAAATTGCAGCTGCCCACTTCCAATCACAAAATTAGCTCTATTACTCCATAAAATAACTAGCAACCTAATAATTCACCAGTTTGCTCGCCTACCTTGGCATCTAACAAAAGGTTGTCTGGCTTAATATCCCGATGGATAAAACCCAACTGGTGGATCGCATCTATTGCTAAAACAGTCTCTGAAATATAGAACTGTGTTTCCTCTTCTGTCAAGGTATCTTTCTTCATTAGCAATGTCATCATATCCCCTATAAAGGAAAATGAAGGAAAGTATCATGTATTGAAATGTCTCAAAAGGGAAATACCTTGTAAATGCTTTCTACATAATGTATGCCTGATTTTTGAATTTTATGATCCACCCAGTATACCTCCAACTTTTTCTAGGACCAAATTAAAAAAAAGTGTCATTGCATAGGCAAACGTTTTATGACATTTAATGGGCTTAAGATAGAAAGTACATGAAATCAAATCAAAGCAGAGCTAATAATGAATATTCATCAGTCAACATTCAGAATAAGTTGCTGAGAAAAACCTACCGCACTGGAAAAATGAATCAATAAGCACACCTGGAAATGGGATATGTTCTTTCAAATTCAAGTTTCAAAAACACTCAGAGCTCTTTGGACTAGCAAAAATAGGACATCATTCCATTAAAAGACTTACCTCCATACATTCTTTTGTTTGTTTGTTTGTTTGTTAATCCTCACCTGAGGATATTTCTCCATTTTTAGGGAGAGTGGGGGAGAAGGGGAAAAACTGAGAGAAACATCGATGTGAGAGACACACATCGATTGGTTGCTTCCTGCACGTGCCCCAACCAAGGCTCGGGCCCAGGGAGGAGCCTGCAACCAAGGTACGTGCCCTTGATCAGAATCAAACCCAGACCCTTTGGTCCTCAGGCCGATGCTCTATCCACTGAGCCAAACCAGCTAGGGCCAGACATTCTTTTATTTTCAAGGGATTTTTTTTTTCTTTAAAGGTAGGCAAAGAACAAACACTGATGAACTTACCATTCAAAATAGACAAAATATATTTTCATGATGCTTCAGATTAAAAATAATAATAAAGTAGAAGTATTCTTTGTCCTCCATTCCCATTCTATTCCTCTTTCTCATTTTGCTGAGTAACCATTATCATGCATTTAGTTTGATGTGTATCATTCCAGCTTCTTTTTAAAATGTTTTCATATACTTATATGTTAATCTATAGATTTATACTTTTGCAGATTTTTAAAAAATTAGACAAATAATACTAATTGTACATATAATTGCACAGCTTGCTTTATTATGCCACTGTTTGAGATATTACTGTTGAAACAGATATAACTCTGACTTTTAACTACTGTAAAATATTACATCTCATAATTATGCCTCATTTTATTTGTCCATCTTTCTATGGATGGACATTTATGTTGCATTTAGGTTTTCACTATTATTACAATGCTGCAATGAGCATCCTTTTATAGATCTCTTGTACATGGGCGTGGGGGAGTATCTCTAGGAAATACAGTTGGTTGTGGAAATGTGGAATTGTAGGACACCTGCATTTTCCACTTTACTGCTATGTATAAATTGTTCTCCCATTAGGATTACAAGTTAATTTACATATATGAGAGGCCAGTTTCCCCGCAGCCTCATTTGACTTAATGTTTTTACTAATCAGATGAGTGTGAAATGGTATCTCATTCTTGTTTTAATTTGCATTCCCCTGAATACAGGTGAAGTTGAACATTTTCCTATATTTTTCCAGACTAGCCAGAGTTCTTCAGTGTGCTTATCATTTGCCCATTGGGTTGTTTTTCTTTAGTGATTTGTTTTCCTTTCTTCAAAATAATCTGATTTGTCAAAATTAACATTATTATGGGAGGAACTATTGGAAAACCATGACTGACTATATAAACCTCAGAGCTAGGAATACCAAAGTAAACCTAATCAATAAAATTGTAATTACATATAGTGATTTGCTTGTGTTCAGCTTGTCATTGCTGTTACATTTGCTTTTACCTCCAGGGAGAAATTCCATGATTAGATAAAGGTTCCTCTTATCTTGAAAACTGTAAAACATCTTCACCACCCAGGCACCATCTGCTTCTACCAAAATATCTCTTTCTGCTCGAATATGAGCCACCTAGATGAATGTATTTTGAAAAAATAATTGTAACATATTACACATTTTCAAGCTTACCTCTTACAATTATCCATCCAGTTCCTAAGAAGTCATGAAGGAAAGCTGGAGTTTTAGAAAAAATTTAAAACATATATGCATGTTCATATTCTCATTAAATACAGAGAACCTCAGGAAATAGTTTATTTTAGCTTATATCCTTAGGCCTAAAAAGGTGGGATTCACAGGTATATTAGGGGAAGCTGAGGCCTTCAAGGTAGAAAAATGACTAGTCTCAAACCTTTCTGACCAGATTCTCCACCTAAGCAAAGATCCTGGCTTTGTCTTATAAATTTAGGGCCCATGTTTGACTTTTAAATGTTAAAAGAAGTAAGCGATGCTCTATAAATCGGTTTGACTAAGTCAGGGTCTTTAGCAAACCATTTTTTAACCATTAGTAGTCAAAGGACTTGACTTGGTCTTTAAGCATTTGGTTTGCTTTTTTTAAGAAGCAGAAACATTTATAATAACTTTATATTCTTTTGTTATAACATACAACCTCTCTAACATCTATTATCTATAGCAAATTAATGTAATTTTGTGGGGTTTTGCTACTGATTTTTGTCAGATACACAATTACTGGGGATCCATTTTATAAGCTGTAATATTTTATAAACTGAGTAATTTGTGGAATTCATATAAACAATTTTCAGATGTTTTTGCATTCTTTCTTGAAAGACTACGAATAAGATTTGATTTTATGCTTTTGCTATTTTCATTGTGCATCACTATGAATTCTGGCCGAAAGCCTGAACATATATTTTATAAACCTTTTTATGATAATAAAATATGACCTGCTTAAAATATCATATTTCAGGTTACTGTATTAATATCTAGTATGCTAACTGCTCTGAGATCAAAGCACAATAATAAAAATTGATAATTAAGGCATTTTTTTTGGCATTAGAGAACTTTATAATCTCTATGGATCTGTTTCAAAATTCTTACCTACTGTCTTTTACAATGCATTCTAAAATGGTAAAGAAAAAGCCTGCCTGGCCGGTGTGGCTCAGTGGTTGAGCATCAACCTATGAACCAGGAGGTCACGGTTCAATATCCAGTCAGGGCACATGCCTGGGTTGTGGTCTCAATATGGGGCGTGCAGGAGGCAGCCTGTCAGTGATTTTCTCTCATCATTGAGGTTTCTATCTTTCTCTCCTTCTCCTTTCTTCTCTGAAATCAATAAAGATATATTTATTAAAAATAAAACTAATTTCTTCATAGGACTTCTCAATCATGACTGTTTGGAATAGTGGTCTGCCTATTTTCCCCACTACTATAAAACAAGGATCAGGTGTGTCCTGTTAACCACTGTATTCTCAGAACCTATAACATGTGAATACTTGTTGAATGAATGAAATAGAAATAAAGTGGAAGAATGCAGTAAAAATTCAAGTTAAAAAATTAAAGAAAAATAATATTATATTGCTATAATAACAAAGTAAGTTTCAGGTGGGTACTGAAAGACTGAAGTAAAGCACTGGGTACAGAGAGGTGCCATCTCCCCTTCTACTCCATTGTAGAGGCCTTCACTGGTTTATGTAGCACATGAGTGTCTACCCAGAATGGAAACTCAGGTGAATACATAAAATAATACTAGTACTGTTTTCAGATTTATGGCTACCACTGAAACTGTATTAAGTTACAGAAAGCAGGAAGACAGCACAGAAGTATGAAATTGGAGTGGTTACAGATTTTGTAAATACATAAAATAAGCAAATTCTCAGGAGACTGTTCTTGCTTTTGTGATATGTGACAGGGATTGAGGGTACTGAGAATTATCCTTTATTTTCACTGAAGTCAGAAAAGAGGATGTTTTGTAATGGACTGAATGTTTTTCCTCAAATTCCTATGATAATGCCCAACCTCCTAGGACAGTGGTCGGCAAACTCATTAGTCAACAGAGCCAAATATCAACAGGACAACGATTGAAATTTCTTTTGAGAGCCAAATTTTTTAAACTTAAACTTCTTCTAATGCCACTTCTTCAAAAAAGACTCGCCCAGGCCGTGATATTTTGTGGAAGAGCCACACTCAAGGGGCCAAAGAGCCACATGTGGCTCTCGAGCCACAGTTTGCCAACTACAGCCCTAAGATAACTGGATTTGAAGAAAGGGCCTCTAAGGAGGTATTTAAGATTAAGTGAAGTCATTGGGGTTTGGTGGGGTTGGAGGGGATTGGTATCCGTATAAGAGACACCAGATAGCTCACACTCTGTGTGCACACACCAAGGAAAAGCTATGTGGGGCCTTAATGGAATGGCAGCTGCCTGCAAGCATGAAGAGAGCCCTCACCAGAAACTAAAGCCTGCCAGAACCTTGATTTTAGACTTCCACCCTCCAGAACGGTAAGAAAATAAATTTCTGTTGTTTAAGTCATCAAGTTTGTGGTATTTTATAATGGCAGCCTGAACAGACTAATACATACTTAGATTATAAATTCAGAAGAAGTGTTAACTATAAGAATTGAGAAGCAATGGCTCAGGCTATCAAAAATTACTAGATTATATAGTAAGATATATAGATTTCTTTTTAAAAATTCCAACATCAGCCAGCAGATGTTTCTTTGGTTGCATGTATTAAAGAACATACCTGCTCTTTTTCAAGCATATCAGCTTTTCTCAATATCTTCATTGCATAGATATGGCCTGTATCTTTCTTCTGGACCAGCCGCACCTAGAATGTGAGAATTGACCACACTATAGATGTTAAACAGCCACTACTATTTATTTAGAATAAATGGTAGGTTCCTTTAAAACAAACAAACAAACAAAACAAAAAAAAAACAGCATTGCAATTTGCCATTCATGGTATTTTAGGAATTCTATTCAAATTAAACTATTTTAATACATATCTATTTTAAATCTATAAAATATATATTCAGTAACAGTGATTTTTTTAAAAAGAACCACACCTCTCCAAATGCTCCTCTTCCTATAACTTTCAGAGACTCAAAGTCATCCAAGCCAAGTCTGGTCCTCTTGAGCCGTAAAAACTCTGTTTCCTTGCGAGCATGCTGTGATCGACGTAACTTTTTCTATTAAAAAAAAAAAAAAAAAAAAAAAAAAAAAAAAAGACAGTTTAAAAGACTTCAAAATCAGATTTTTCAAAGGAAACCTACAGTATTATAGACAAGATATATAAAAATGGGGGTGAAACCCTGGCCAGTGTGGCAAATTGGTTAGAGTGTTGGCCTGCATATCAAAGGGTCTTGGGTTTGATTACAATCACAGGCACATATCTGGGTTGCAGGTTCGATCCCGGGCCCCAATCAGGGAGCGGGTGGGAGGCAACCAATAGATATGTCTCTCTTGCATCCATGTTTCTCTCTCTCCCTTCCACTCTTTCTCTAAAGAAAAAAAGAAACCATCAATGGAAAAAATATCCTTGGGTAAGATTAACAACAACAAAAAGTGAGGTAAAGCCAAAACCAGTTTGGCTCAGTGGTAGAGCGTTGGTCTGTGGACTGAAAGGTCCCAGGTTCGATTCCAGTCAGGGGCATGTACATTGGTCGCAGGCACATCCCTGGTAGAGGGTGTACAAGAGGCAGCTGGTCGATGTTTTTCTTTCATAGACGTTTCTAGCTCTCTATCTCTCTCCCTTCTTCTCTGTAAAAAAAATCAATAAAATATATATATATATATATATATATATATATATATATATATATATATTTTAAAAATGAGGTAAGTATCTATATCTATCTATCTATCTATCTATCTATCTATCTATCTATCTATCTACACACACACACACACACACAAAAGCCTAAGTGAACCGTCGACTGTTGACCAATAGACCGGTCACTATGACACTCATTGGCCAACAGGGGGCAGATGCTCAATGCAGGAGCTTCCCCTGGTGGTCAGTGTGCTTCCACAGCAGGAGTGCCACACAGATGACCAATGGGCGCCAGACACCAAGTTCACGGCTGACGAGCAGTTGCTGTGGCTGTGCCCGTAGCAGAGTAGCAGCGAGCCTACCGAGCAGCCAGCCAGCAGCCGGGATAAACAGGAAGAGCGCACGGTGCCGAGGCCAGGCTTGGGCTCCTCCCCAGCCGGCTGCCGCTTCATGCACTACTACATCCCTCTGCAGATGTTGGATTGCCAGTTTCAGCGGATCCCTGCAGGCCACACCAAGGGACCCTACCGGTGCACAAATAAAATCTAAAGAAAACTTTAAAAGACTTTTTTTTTTTTTTAACAATTTGAAAAATCTTTACTATTGAAGTATACCCCATTAAATATTTCATCTTAATTATATCATGATATTCTTTCATCAATAAGCTAACTTAATTCAAAAATAAAAGTTAAACTTTAGGCAATGCTAATATTCTGATGTTGATTTTGACTCTGTCAAGAAATCTACTTTGCTTCAATTCCTTAAATCCCAAGGTTGCTCTTGTCATAACTACTGAGACGTATGACACCAACATAACAAAACAAGAGTGTTTCCATAGAGATGTACTTATGGTAGAATTTATTCTTGGAAATATTTTAATAAACTGCTTGAGACTAGACACACAAATTCCTGAAAAAATTAAACTGCAACAAAGATAATTACATGAATTCATTAAAATATTCAAGTCAGGAATTCCATACTTCATTCTCCATCAATCACAAAAAATAACTAGCATTAATATGAAATATTATGAAATATCTGAAGGTTACATTTGGAATGGGCATTTGTTTCATTATTCTATATTTCATTTTTCTCCTCACCAAACAAAATTCTGTTTTTGACATAGCTCCTGGTAGATGTAACATAAAGTGGGAAATGAAAATAATCAATGAAAAGAAGGAATTCTTATCATTTGCAGCATTATGCTGAGTGAAATAAGCCAGTCAGTGAAAGAAAAACACCACATGATCTCACTCATTTATGGATAATAAGGAACATTATAAACTGATGAACAAAAAGATAGATACAGAGTCAGTAAAGCAACAAACAGACTGTCAAAATATAGTGAGGAGGGTAGGGAAATATGGGGGAGATAAGAGATCAACGGAAGGACTTGTATGCATGCATATAAGCATAACCAATGGATGCAAAACTCTGGGGAGGGAGGGCATGTATGAAAGTGGCGGGAAGGAATTGGTAAGATATATACACATATCATACCTTGATTAAAAAAATGAAAGAAAAGAAAAAAAAATTAAACCCCTGTTCATCTTCAACTGAACCCAATATCCAGTTCTAAGGAGGAGACAAGTCAAAATGACCATAACAGCTCAGAAACATCGCTCTGACATGCAACTCTCGGTATAACTACTAAATAGTCCTTCCCTACCCCTCAGTTTATGCCTTCAAGAGGGTTAGGTAAACTATTAATTAGAAATATGTAAATGTGTATCATCAATGCAATGGAATTCTGGTAATTCTAACAAAGTTAATCTAAGAGGATCAAATTAAGAATTATGTCTTCAACATGGCTGGTGTGACTCTGTGGTTGTTTGTCAAACCATGAACCGAGATATCACCAGTTTGATTCCCAGGAGGATGGTGGAGGCAGTCAATTGATGCTCTCTCATCAATGTTTCTATCTCTTTGTCCCTCTCCTTCCCTCTCTCTCTAAAGAATGATGTCTTCAATGTAAAGTCTTTAGACAGCTAAGTGAAGTTATATACTCAGCACATCAATAGTGAAAACAGTAAAGACTATTTTTTGAATCAAAAATGCCATTTAAATAACAGTTTAAAAAACTGAATTACTAGTAAAACAAAAAGATCAAAAAGCAGTTTTAGATTTTAAGAGTAAATAAAAAAAGGCCACATGGTGGCACTGTAGTACTGTCTTTCAAAGCAGTAAAGGCACTGTTGCTTTTAATTACATAAATGAATATAAAAATTTTAAGAGACATTCTATATTTCTAACATTATGAGTTATAGAATAAACAAAGTGCAGTTGGATTTAGCTTCAGAAACTTGAGTAATCTGAATGAAAAATATAACCTTATTAAACAGTTTCATAAATCATGCTCAAAATTGATAGACAAGGGAGAAGCAGCTAAAGAAATAATGTTTATTAATATTTTATAGGTTGTATAGTACAGCAAGTTAACAATGTTTATGTGTTGGAGACAGCTAATAGCAAAAAAGGAGAATCCCAAGTGTATGGAATATATAATCTTACAGAAATGGGACATCACCTATAATGTTGTTAAATTACTTTAAAAAAAAAATCTATTCCATGATATTAGTTTTAATTCTTACTGTCCAGTGTGGCTCAGTGGTTGAGCGTTGACCTATGAACTAGGAGTTTACAGTTTGATTCCCTTTCAGGACACATGCCTAGTTGCAGGCTCCATCCCCAGTGGGGATGGGCATGCAGGAGGCAACAGATCAATGATTCTCATCATGATGTTTCTCTCTCTCTCTCTCTCTCTCTCTCTCCCTTCCTCTCTGAAATTAATAAAAATAAAAATTTAAAAAAAAGAAAGAAGTGGCATATAACATTGTGTAAATTTTAGGTATATAATGTAATGATTTGTTCCATATATATATTGCAAAATGATTACAATAAGGTTAATGTATCCATCACCTCACATAACTACTTTTTTTTTTGGAGTGAGAACATTTAAAATCCATTCTCTTAGTATCTGTCAAGCACATAATACAGTATTGTTAACTATAGTCACAACAATCACAGCTAATATTACCTCTTCATCTGCTAATCCTTCTTCTTCCATAGCCACTTCTAATTTCTTCTGCCTTAACAAAAGAAAAATAATTTACATTTTAAATACATTTCTAACTACTCCCATTTTTTAAATGTACATTTATTCGTTCAATATGGTATGCTAAAAAAATCTTTCAAGTTGAATTAAAATAATCATTAAGTACAGTTTTCTTTCTCAAAATATAACAAATATTTTGTAACAAATATTTCTATCGTATAGGCTTTTCTTAAAGATAAACCCGAGAAAGAGCTTTTCCTAGTTAGCTTTGAGTATGCTAGAAGATGAACTTCCCAGGCTTTATCCACATGGGTATAGGGGTTGAGGATTGAAACCACCATTTACATTGTTTAGTATTTGTTATTTATAACAGTACTAGAGGCCCAGTACATGAAAATTCATGCACTTGGAACAGGGGAGGACCCTCAGTCCGGCCTGCACTCCCTCACAGTCTGGGACCCCTTGGGGGATGTCCACCTGCCAGCTTAGGCCCACTCCCTGAGGGATGAGGCCTAATCAGCAGCCTGGGAGCCCTTAGGGGATTTCCGACTGATGGCAGAGAGCAGGGAGCAGGCCTAAGCTGCAGTCGGACATCCTTAGTGCTACTGAGGAGGCGGGAGAGGCTCCTGCCACTGCGGCTGCACTCGCAGCTGTCAGCCGGGCTTCTGGCTGAGCAGAGCTCCCCCTGTGCGAGCACACTGTCCACCAGGGGGCAGCTCCTGCATTGAGCATCTGCCCGCTGGTGGTCAGTGTACATCATAGGGACTGATTGTTCTGCCATTAGGGTCAATTTACATATTATTCTTTTATTATATAGGATGTCCAAAAGTAAGCCCTTTCCTAATCCATCAAAATCACTTTTTTTTCTTTCTTAAGGAAAATTCCAAGCAAAAATATCTTAAATGAACACCTAAACAGAGATGAGACCTAATAACATACTCTTCACCTACTTCCTCAGCAGTTATAATGGGTACCTTAATGCTTACCATACTGATTTTTATCTTTTGCTTACATATTATTCCCCTAAGCCCAACCTTAGAATGGAACAAGCGCCTAACATCGGATTCTGTGCCTGCCATCGTGTACCTCTGGGCCTGCAGAGCTGCTTGCTGAATGATTTTGAGTTTTCTCCTCTGCTGAAAGAATCCAAAGAGTAAGAGGACCATTAATCTGGGAGGGACAGCCACATACAAGCAACTCTATTCTTCTCAGACCTTTACTGCACCCTTTCCTTGCCAAGACTAACACTTCTTGGAATCGTATCTCATTTAGGAGCAAGAGGCACTAATTTTCATTCATTTGCACCATGCCTACACGGAACACCTATGTCTTCTCTTGTAGCTTTAAAAAAAATAGCTTTTCTCCTCAAATGCTCTGGCATTTTGTTCTTTGCTTGGTACTTTATTTAGGTTATGTATTTATCCAATTAGTTAAACCTTAAAAATTCATCACATGTTTTCTTAAAGTATAAACTGTTTTTACTATTTATTTTTATTATTTTAATAATGCAATAATTTTTTTTCAATTACAGTTTACATTAAATATTATTTTGTATTAGTGTCAGGTGTTCAGCATAATGGTTGGACAATTATATATTTTACAAAGTGTAGTATATACTGTTTAATATGACTTTCATGATACCACCAAGCTGAGAATGTTTTGATTTGTATTATTTTAATAACAGCAGATGCTTTTATTCTTACTTTCCTTAGTTTAGAGGAAAATTGAATGAAAGACTTTAAGGTTTCAGCAAGAAAAGACAATGAACCTTTAAAATTCTGACAAATAACTCATGCCGGCCTCCTGAGAAAATATAGGTCTTTCTTTCCTTTGTTCTCTTCTGCATTATTCCCTCTCCCTTGATGATGTGAACACTCCCAGAGGCTTTCATTACGTTTATAATTAGTGTAACTACTATATTTGTATTTATTTCTAACTTATTCTATGGTTTCTATTTATGCATGCTATTTGGTATTTCAGGTTTTCGTTTTCTTTTGGTCTTCTTTTGAACCTATTTCCCCCTCATTCCTTCTATAGGTTTGGAAGTTACAAACTTCATTTTTGGTCTTTTAGTGGCTACCCTAGAAATAATATGTACAGTTAATTTGTCAAAGTCTGAAATTAATCTTTACCCTGTCTACATTGTATTCCTATTCTTAAAAATACCAAGATATCTAAGAACATTTCATTCCACTCTCTTCCTGACTGAGAGTGCACTGTTAAAAAAACATTTTAATTTTTTAAATTTTTTTATTAAATTATTATCTGTGTACATATATCATTGCCCCTCCTCCTCATTTTAATTTTTTTTTAATGCCTAAGACATTGTCATTATGATTGTTTTTATACAGTCAAATTTTGTTGGGATTTATCCACTTATTTACATTTTTAAAAATATATATTTTATTGATTTTATACAGAGAGGAAGGGAGAGAGATAGAGAGTTAGAAACATCAATATGAGAGAGAGTCATTGATCAGATGCCTCTTGCACACCCCCTACTGGGGATGTGCCCACAACAAAGGTACATGCTTTTGATCGGAATCGAACCCGGGATCTTTCAGTCCCCAAGCCGACACTCTATCCATTGAGCCAAACCGGTTTTGGCCACTTATTTACATTTAAACCTTCTGTTTGTGGTCACTTTCCTTCTGCTTAAATTGAATCTTTTGGAATTTTTTCTGATAATGAACTCTTAGTTTACTTTGCCTCAGCTCCATTCTCTTTCCTCTTCCTTTGAGAACTTTGATTAAAGGTACATTAGCTTTTCTCACTAGTCTCTATGTTTCTTACCTCTCATATTTTCTTACTCTATCTCTGAATAACTGTTTTATCTTCTAGTCCCAATTCTCGCCTCAGCTATGCCTCATCTGCAGTGAGACTTGTCCAAAATTAAGTTCTAATCCTAATTCTTCTTCAGTCCTGTTTCACTGAAGTTGCATCAACCCGTTTGCCCAGGCATATTTCAGAGCCAGTATTGACTTGTTTCTCTCACATTTCATATTTGGCTATTTTCCATGTTTTTTCACCTTTCTCACCAGTCAATTCTTCTCTTTGTTGCTGTCACAATCCTAATTCAAGCCTCCTTTCTATTTGCCTGGACTACATCACTAGCCTTTCCTGTTCCTAATCCCTCCTCCCACAGTCCATTCTATGCATCACAATTAAAGTACTCTTCCAGAGAAACACCTGCAATCATTTGATTCTTCTATTCAAAACTCAGGGAGGCCCTCTACCACCTTGAGAAGCTACACTAACAAAGCACTCAAGACTATCAGGAAATGTTGACCTCTAGCTTGAGCTTAACTGAACGGTACTTGAGTTAGCACTGAAGGTGGTTTCTTCTATTTCTAATGCCCTTCCTCTTGCTCTTTTATTTCTTTATTCTCCCTTTTATGTGTGTATAAATAGGGCTCTTTCTTTAGAGCCCTGTTTAAACACCATCACCATTTATGGTGCCATCCCAGTTGCCTTAGGCAAAAGCAATCTCTCTTCTTCGCCCTTCTCTTAGTGATACTTTTCACTCTTTCATCTAGTATCTATGTGCATTAGCTCCCTTACTCCAAGTTTCCTGAAAGCAAAACAACAAGTCTTTCATTTTTTATTCTTCTATACCCACTTATATATACTCAACACTATAAATGTTTTTGGATTAAAGTCAATTATTCATAATGCATCCCTCTAAAAGAAAGTAAAAAGCTATGTCATAATTTCATGGTTGAAAATATTTTGTTTAAAACATCTCATTTGAAATAAGTATATGGGTTCACAGGACAAAAAACTATTCTGCAAAAATAGAACAAATAATTAGGTCCACTATCAGGAAAGAAAGTTAAAAACAACACACAAGGATGGATCTCCAAAATTTATGTTATTAATGGGCAACATGTTTACATTTCACTTGCAGCATAGCAGCTTATTTAAACAGAAAACTTTGACTAGTTGTTACTATACCTGGTTTCTCTCTCTTCATGCTGTAAGATGAGGTTGCTGTAAAAATTCTCCAACGTGAGCTTGGCCACAGTCACTCTTTCCCGGGTATGGTTGCTCATAGGAAAGGTGGTAGTACTCCCTGCCGTCATTGCCATAGTAACAGAAACTGAAATAACATATAAACACAAATTATTCAGTAGAAAAAAGTTTTTATCCCTTATAACAGACTCTAGAAATGGTTTGATTTCTACTAAGCAAAATTTGACTCTAAAAATTAATATATCCAAATCTTTCACATTATTAACAATACAATGTTAGAAAAGAAAGCAAGATGATCCATTCCCAAAGCAATAGAATTAATTTTGTACTCACAAAACCAGGGCTGAATAACAGTAAAGAAGCACCAGTGAGAGCCCATGAAAATATAAATACATACATACACAAAACGTTGTACTCAACAAGTATTCATAACAAGAAAGGGTCAATCTATTTTGTTGTTGTTTTATTGGTTACTAAATAAAATCCACAAGATTTTGATAATACTTATGTTCTCAATAAATGTAAGTCTCTTAAGAGTTAATGTAGTTTAATTAAATAGTAAGAAATAGCTTCTTCCATATAAATGTTATGAAGCATGAAGTGTTGCATCAATAAGCACACAAACATCAGTCTAAAGCAATTCTTATTAGGGGAAAATACGTTTAGAAAGAAGCTCCTTAGAAAGAGGCCACAGTTGTCCCATTTAATTCTGAATTCTGTCATTTCAGATAGTACTATAACAAGGTGTAGTATACTTCTCTAAACTAAAAGGTCCGATTCATTTTCAAAAGATACTCAAATGCCTGTAGGAACTATGCAGGAAACACAAATGCGTGAATAAAGCCAGGTGATAATAAGGAAGTTTTGTGTATATCTAATTAACACCATTTAAGTGCCAACTTTGAAAAACCACTGGGACAGCCAAAGTACTAGTTTGAAGAAGATAATCTGTACACTTGGACAAGATAAGGAATGTAATAAAAAGGCTGCTGAACTCTGGGTGGCTGTTTGCTGGACACTGACCCTAAGAGATTTGCCTACCACAGTCTACATCTGGACCAAAAAAAAACCCAAAAATATTCCCATATGTTAAAGAGATTTTTGCTTATTTGCATGGGAATCATAACAAAACAACCTAGCAAAGATCCAGATTGCGAAGAGTGGGCATCCAACATTTCATTTTTAGCAAAAACATACTCCCCTAAACTTGCCACCTACTCCCCAACACCCACTTCTTCTTAACTACACAAAGATACCAACCTGTATATGGGCCTGTACTGTATTGGAATCCAGAGATAATTCAATGAACCAAAAGTCTTTCCTGTGCTTCAATGTCAAATACAGATTAAAAATAAACAATCTCCAGTTCCACAGTTATCTTACTGAGTTTATACCTCAAAGTACTGCAGGACCTGCAAATCCATACATGATCAATCTATTATTTTACCATCATAAATTTGTTCCACTGCTAACTACTCTAAGTTTTTTTTTTATAACAAGAAGCTGATCACATTATTTGTTTAAAATTGTTCCAGTTTCCTCACTGCCTATAGCAAATCAAATTAGATAAGGATAACTCACATACATTGAATGCTGGAAGATATCAGAAATTTTATGATACTTTATTACTGAATTTCCCTCTTTCCTCCTGAGGATTTAAGATAGTGGCACCTTCTTATGCATGACTACATTTCATCCTCATAGTAGCCCTGTAAAGTAAGGAACTAAAGCTTAGAAAAATCCCATAGCTAGTGAGCTATGAAGTTAGAACTCCAACTCCAAATGCTATCTCTAACTTGCCATTCCAGCCTTAGCTGCTCCACTTGCCCATGGCCTAATCTTCTCCCAACATGCTTGGCTCTTTCATGCCTCCAAGCCCTCATATGACCCATCCCTGAATCAGTTATGTCCTGAACTACTCCTTTCCGCTTTCCCTCCCTCCTTCTTTCTTTCCCTCTCTTCCTCCCTCTTTTCCTTCCTTCCTTCCAGAGAGAAAGAAAGAGGAGAGGGAAATAACGATTTGTTGTTTCACTTATTTATGCATTCATTGGCTGATTCTTGTATGTGCCTTAACTGGGGATTGAAATCGAAACCTTGGCATATGGGGGACAACCTTCTACCTGGCCAGGGCCTATCCTGTACTCTCTTCACAGGATCCCTGATTCTTTAAGGCACAGCCTCACTGTGAAGACTTCTCTAACATGCCCTACCAGAAGAGACCTAATATTAATATTTGTATTAGGTCTCTTTTTTTTCAGATGTGTTCTCTAGCATTTGCACCAATGTATCTCGGGTACTGGTGCTTATCACTCCACTTCTCTATCCCACTAAACTAGGAACATCTCTAGGCAAAAACTTTTCCTGATTCATTTTTTAAGTATTTACTACAAAAGCACTGTATCTGACACATAGCAGGCATTAATGAATGAATGACTCAACCTATTAAATGGGGGAGGGGAAAGAGCTGAAAGAATTAGCTAAAAGTATCAAGACTGATTAATAAGCAACTGTGGAAAAATAAATTACTGAACCTAGAAGCCAGAAATTCAGAGATTTAATCACTTAGGCCCTGCTGCTAAGTGATCATATGCTCTTGTTCAAATCACCAGAAAGCTCTGAACTGGTCACTTTTTCCTAAACAGGCATTACGTATTTGTTCTGCTGAGTTCACAGGCCATCTGAGACAATACACAACAAAACCATAATGGCTTATTTAAATGTAAGACATTATTTTAAGCACTTAGTTTAATATTTTAAATGTGTAAATGCTTTAAAATTAATAGTATTATTTTTAAAAAATAAATAATAAAAATAAATGAAACCCAAGAATTATCACGCCAAATGCTTTTTAATTGCTAAGCTATTCTTCTTGGAATGCTATCTAAGGCAATGCTATCAAACCATTTTTGGAAATATCAGAATCATTGGGTTCATATTCTATGTTTCAGGATCGGTGATAGCGGAGTTCTTGGGGGCGCCTCAGAGGAAAAGAATTTCCTGAAGCCCCCACAGGAGAATGGAGTTTCATGGAAGGCTTTATTGATGATGTAAAATTAATGGGGTTCCCTCCAAGATCCCATCTCTGTCAGTCTTGCCATGGAAGAAGTCTAACCTTGTCTTCAGCAGGGCCAGAATGAAGGCCACTGTCCAGAATTTCTGTTCCATATCAAAGTATAGTATAGTCCAGCATCTGGCTAGCTTAGCTTGTGTTCCCAGCTGTGGTGTTCACACATGTGGTTGCTTAAAGACACATGGCTTTGGAGAGAGAACAGGTGAGCCCATGGGCGAGTGCAGGTCACAGAGAAGAGAGAACAAGAGACCAAGCTTGAGCAAGAAAGAGGGAACTTTTGTCTAGGGATTTAAACTATTAAAGATTTTGAGTGTTTCTGATGTGGTCCACTCCTAGCCGATCCATTGTTCCCCAGCTAGACTGACAAGCAAGCACCTTCCCTATGTTACCCTGACTTCACTATGCATGTGCCCACCTCCCCCCTTTGTTTCATCCCTTCCCCCAGTGATCTGCAGGGAATGGACCGGTGGTTCACTGGGGAATAAGAAGCTGTAGCTTCTTAGGGAAGCTGCCCAGGTGACCATGCTTACAATGCCTGATTCTCTCTTTGCTCTTTTCCCTTATTAATACTGATAAACTTGTAAATTATGATGATAACACCATCAACCCATTTTTTGAAATATCAGAATCACTGGGTTCATGTTCTATGTAAAAGGATCAGATGCAGAAAAGTCAAAGAAGGAAAATAGAACAGGGATGGTTTTTAGCAGACATCCTAAATCCCATTTGTTAATTGGGATTTGGGGGTTAGGGGTGCAGGGAAGGACGCTGGGGAGGATAGATTAGAAGTTGAGGAATTCAAATAATTTGAGAAAATCCCGATAATACAAAATTAAACAAGTTTCTTGTTGCAAGACTTCCCAGCATCTTTAATATGTAACTACCTTGTTTCCCCGAAAATAAGACAGTGTCTTATATTAATTTTTTCTCCCAATTTTTTCTCCTTATTTTCAGGGGATGTCTTATCTTTCCATGCGCTAGGTCTTATTTTCGGAGGATGTCTTATTTTCGGGGAAACACGGTATTTACTCTAAATCCTCAAAAAGGTGGTAAGGTATACAATTTGCAATAATATTCTAGCGAGTCTTCTTTAGGCATATAAAATTTGAGTTCATACATAATTCTCTTTAAACACTAGTAAAAAAAAATTGCCTTTTACTTTATTTTTTAACAAACATTGGGGTGGGGTGGGGGCATAGAAGTTCTAATAAAGAGCAATGCCTGGGGATTTTAGAGTGATTTCTAACTTGTCCAGTTCTGTAGCTGATAAGGAATTTTCAAATTGGTTTGCCAGTTATGAGGAGGAAAAAAAAGTCAAGATCCAACTCTAATTGTCCAAGGACTATATTTTCCTTTCAAAAAGTTTATGATGAAAAAGCAAACAAAACATTTTATAATGCCTTTTGAGAAAAACACACGAAGAAATAGCCCACAAGTAAATATTTCAGAAGTCAAAAAGAAAGCTATATAATGAACTCCGGGTGCGGTCTTGGCAGGCAGCTGACTGGCAGCCAAGGAGCCTTTTAGAACAGGCTGCTCTGCTCAGTCTGCCAAGGGGCAAGGTCTGGCCTTCAGATGCCTGTGTCCCAGGGCAATCGAATTCTGGAAGCTACTTTATCCTAAGAGAGTTCAGGAGATACTGATACACAAGAAACAATGTCAATTGACTGACTTACACAATAAGAAATTGAGTAACAAGGAACAGATCCTTTCATCTCACAAATGCATTCTGTCTTTGTAGACAAGCTGGATGCAAAGCCATAATGAGGGTCAGAAAATTGCTCAATGAGCAGGCATCAGAAAAAATAGAATTGTTATTCAATTTAAATGTTTCATGGCATCAGGATAAGGCAAAATCTTTAAAAAATATTTTTAAATAGACTACACACTGTCTAGCCCAGGCAATTTTGCCCACTTTAAAGTATCTGGAGATGGCCAATATTAACCTCTGCTGCTGAATGGGATGAAACAATATTGGGGAACTAGAGGTAGGCAGAAATATTATTGAGCAAAAATTAGGGGAAAATTTTATGAAACATAAAAAAA